TCCATAATAAAAAAACTAAGCATGGGTTTCCAAAATTTTTTGCACCAAAATAAACTCAAACGAACTTGTTATAAATGTCTTAAGAGGATCTAGTTTGAGTCCTACGAAGAGCAAGACATTCATTTAAAAAGAATCTTATCCGAATGCGAATTCTGCTAAACCTGAAGCAAGAACAAATAGTAAATTAATAGTAAAAGCTGGATGAAAGAATTGTGAAATCTTTGATGCGTCACAAAATGTTTATGGAGGCAATACACCATAGAAATCAGCCATCTAAATAAATAGATAACTTGCTCCAAGGTTGCCTGAACTATTGGGCCAATATTAGCTGCAGACAAGAGCAGAGCTTTCTATTTTAAACGGGTGGAAGATGTAACATGACCTTACCAGTTTTGATCCTGAAGAAAAAGCACATTCAAAGCAATGGCTACCAAAAGATGGTGGTGGTCCAATCAAAGCAAAAGTCCACTGTCAAGAGCATCCTAAGAACAGTTTGGGGGCATGTTCAAGGCATTTTGCTTGTTGGTTTTCTAGACATATTCATCAATTAATATGGTTCTTTTAGCCATAACATCTTGTATCATGTACTGTAAATTCTAGCCTCTATCCCTGTGGTTATAAGCCCACTTTGAAGGGAGTGCTCTGTTATGCCAATATAAAAGACTAAGGTAGGCTGTATTCTGAGTCTATACCTTACTAGAGGGCATGAACCTAGTCACCACCCTTGGTGTCCATATGGGTATGGTCTGCTAAAAGAGAAAACCCCACATCCATATGTGAGAGAGTTATGTCAGAAGCAGGAACAGAAAGAATTCCCAGAACCATTATAGAAAAAGATCCATCATTGGAGCATGTTTGCAATCTGGCCTGAAATACAGGAGGCTGACCAGAAGCACCAGAGGCTGCTGCCTTGGAAACCATAGGACCAAGCAAAAACGCCATCTAGAGAAAAGCCAAGGGGCTGTGCTACTGAGACCATGTGGCTGAGAGGCTGAGGACCAGAGAGACAGACTTGGCTGCAGAGTGAGGTGAGGTGCTGCGGTGGACCAAAGATTGCATCCTTAATGTTTTCTGATCCTGTCTTGTGGTAACCTGTCAGCTTCCCTGATATGCCTCCTTAATTGTGAGTATTGCCTACGACTTCTGTGGGCCGCTGCCATTATAAAATTGCCATTTATCTAGGATGTTGTGAGAAGAACAGCTGGTGTCACAACAGGGTTAAGATAGGGAGTAGGGGGAAGCATGTCTGACATCTGCCTCATGGTACTAGGTCTTGGGCTGAGGAGGACTTGGAATTCACCTTCTTTGGGTAGCCAGAGGAGGTCGGATGTGAGCTCTGTGCTATTTTCTCACAGGTACTTACCCAAGAAAGATGAAAGCACACATCCATACAAAGATTTGTACACAAACGTCCTTAACAGCTGTGCTTTTAGTAGGTGAATGGAAAAACATCCCATACATGAAACAGCAATAGGAGGAATGAAATACTGATACACACTAAATTATGACAACTCTAAAAGTAATTATGCTGAGAAGCCAGGCCAAAAAGAGTACACAATGCATGATTTCATTTATGTAAAATTCTAGAAAATACAAACTCCTTTGCAGTGACAAAAGGTATTCAATAGTTGAGCAGGGATGGAGAGAAGGCAGGAGAAAGGGTTGTAAATACTAGGAAACTTTTACAGATAATGAATATGTTTATTATCTTGATTATGGTGATGGCTTCACAGGTATGGACAGATATAAAAATTTATCAACCATATACTTAAATATGCAGTTCAACCCAGGTCAGTGACTTTAATAGGCTTTAAAAGCTACCAATAAAAAATTTAAAAAACAGCCTCATTGCCATAGAGTCAATGCTGACTTTAATGACCTTATAGGGCAGAGCAGAACTGCCCCTTTGTAGTCCGAGACTGTAACTGTGGAGAGAGCCTTGTTGGGAGCAGTAAGCCGCACCTTTCTCCCACAGAGTGGGGCTGCTGAATTAGAACTGCTGACCTTGTGGTTAGCAGCCAAAGCATAACCACTTCTTTGAAAAATTTATGAAATGACAAAAGTCATGAAACACTAATATCTGCTTTAAAAGGAAAGTGAAAAATTAAAATAAATTAGGTTCAGTGGATCCTGATGGTATACCACTGGCTAGAATACATCCAACTAATGGTTAGAACATGTACAAGTACAAGAGAACTTCAAAAATTTCATGGGAAAACTCTATTCTCTTTTAATTCCATTTTCCCACAAACTTTTTGAAGCCCCCTCATAGACTCATGAGTACATAACTTAAAATACTGTAAAGCCAAAATTTTAAAACCTTCAATGACTGTTGGAGAATGCTTAGGAATCAAGACTTTTTTTCTGAACACTGTACAAGAAAAGAAAGCAGCAAGCATTGATCCCAGCTTTTCTGATTACAACTCCAGGTAGCCAAATAGACAAGCACACTTTTCTTGATAGAGGTAACACAGCTAATAAAGATAATGAAAGAATTAAGATACCACATCCTATGGAATTATGAATCTAGGCACTGCATACGATGGCTAATTTCATAAATAGAGATAGCCATCCATGTCTCTTCTGATCAAAGAGTGAACCACCACCTACAATCATTTGCCAAAAATTCAAAACTAATTTTTTATCTTATTTTTTTAAATAATGTTTCCCTTTTTTTAAAAACTAAATTTAAGCCAAATCAAATTACTTCTAAATCCAATCGCTAACTTATTGGAATTAGTAGACACAGACTATATTATACATTTGATGTTTTAAAAATAGGTACTTAAGAGATCTATTGACCAATTGTAAAACTAAGGACCTTATTAAATGGATCCTGAAAGTATTTAAAAATACATTAACATTGCAACGACTTTCAAATAGTTTTTTAAATGAATATATAAAAATAAAACTTTTGAGACCATTAGAAATCTGAACTTTGACCAGATATTCAATAATAAGGAATTACTATTTCTAATATGATAATCATATTATAGTTATGGTAAAAAGAGCTTTTGTTTTTTAGAGGTGCATACTAATATTTAGAGAATGCATGTTTGTAATTCTGGAATTTGGTTGAAGTTATCAAGGATTTTGTCATGCTTGGAATCACAATATCGTATGAGAAAGGAAGAAAAAGGCTAGACTCCTGGAATTGATAGAACACCAACAGAAATGTTTCAAGAAGCTGATGAAGCACAAGAACCACTTATCTATACCAAGAAATGTGGAAGACAGCTATTTGACCAACTGACTGGAAGAAACTCATATTTCTACCCATTCCAAAGAAAGATGACCCAAAAGAATGCTCAAACTATAAACAATATCAGTGATATTACATGCAAGTAAAATGTTGCTGAAGATCATCCAACAACAGTTACAGCAGAACATTGAGAGGGAGCTGCCAGAGGTCCAGGCTGGATTCAGAAGAGGATGTGGAACAAGGGATACCATTGCTGATGTCAGGAATACCAGAAAAGATGTTTACTTGTGAAATATGCCAAGGCATTCAACTGTGTGTATCCTAACAAACTGTGGATGATCTTGAGAAAAATGGAAATTCCAGACTATTTCCTTGTTGCTCATGCTGGCCCTGTACATGGATCAAGAGGCAGTTGTGTGACCAGAACAAGAGAACATGACACAGGTTTAGAATCAGGAGAGCTGTGCATCAGGGTTAGCTCCTCACCAACGTACTCAATCTGTGTGCTGAGGAGTCATCAGAGAAGTTGGATTATATGACTAAGAATGTGGCATCAGGAATGGAGGAAGGCCTATTAAACAACCTGCTAGATGACCCACCCTTGCTTGCTGAAAGTGAGGAGGACTTGAAGCACTTGCTGGTGAAAAGCAAAGAATGCAACCTTCAGTGTGGATTAGGATTCAATGAAAAGGCAAAAATTCTCTCAAGTGGACCAATAGGCATTATGGAAAAAAAGGGGGAAAAGGTTGAAGTTATCAAGGATTTTGTCTTGCTTGGACTCACAGTCAAAGTTCATGGAAGTAACAGTCAAGAGATCAAAAGATGTATAGCATTAGGTAAATCTGCTGCATAAGAACTCTTTAGAGTACTGAAAAACTAGGATGTTACTTTAAAGCAGTAGTTCTCAGCCTGTGGGTGGCAATTCCATTGGGGGTCAACTGACCCTTTCACAGTGGTCGCCCGATTCATAACAGTAGCAAAATTAGTTATGAAGTAGCAACGAAAATAATTTTATGGTTTGGGGGTCACTACAACATGAGGAACTTAAGGACTGTGGCATTAGGAAGGTTGAGAACCACTGTTTTAAAGACTAAGGTGAGCCTGACCCAAGCCATGGTATTTTCAATTGCCTCGTGTACATGTGAAAGTTGGACATTGGACAAGTAAGACCAAAGAAGAAAGGATGCATTTAAATTGTGGTGTTGGAGAAGAATATTGAAAAGTACCACTGACTACTAACAGGACAAACTGATCTATCTTGGAAAAAGCATGGTCAGAGTGCTCCTTAGAGGCCCAGATGGCAAGAGTCCGTCTTACATATTTTGGGCATGTTGTCAAAGAGAGACTAGTCCCCAGAGGAGGACATCATACTTGGTGGAGGAGAGGGGCAGTGAAAAAGAGGAAAGCCCTCCAGGTGAAGGACTGACACCATGGTTGCAATAGTGGGCCGAGGCACAGGAACAACTGGGCGGATGGCGCAGAACCATGCAATGTTTAGTCATGTTGTGCTTAGGGTCGCTATGAATCGGAACATATATGCCCCAGAGTCATGATCTTCTAATGTTGGCATGTGAGAGAAACACCCAGCAAACTTATTATTAAAATAGAGACTGTTGGACCGCACCCTTGGTTTCTAATTCTGTAGGTGGTCCCTACCATGAATTTGCCTTGAAAACCAGTTTGAATTACTTTAGCAATGCGAAAAATAATGGAAACATTTAAAAAACCATGTCCATGTTATATTATTCAATACAAAGTCTGATTAATTATGAAACCATTTTAAATATACAATTCTTACCAGATTTAAGACCTGAAATTTTGAAGATGGCACTTGGCTTCCCATTTGTGACAAATCCTAGGAGTTGCCATATTGGCATTCCATTTGAATCAGGATAGGAAAAGTAGACAGAGCCTCCCATTCCCTCAGGAAATGGAACGGTTCCAAGCATAAAAACCACAACATGGTTGATATTTTCATAATCAGGCAAATCAAATACAAATTTATCTTCTGCCACTTGCTGTGCAGCTGTTTGTACCTAGAAGATAAGAAACTCCCATTAGTTTACAGTCCTCATACTATCACTATAAATGATGTTACCGATTATAGTGAAAGCACGTAATACTGGGTTAATCTGATTTTCTGATTATAAAATTAAACCTGTCATATCGGTAGTCTTAAAATAATTCTGGAAACATAATTTATTTTAAAAACATAACTAAACTGTTAGAATTTCCTACAAAAGATTTTCCCCATATAAACAGCTACAGCTTCAGACCATACCAAACCAATCCCACCGCCGTCTCATAGGGTCACTAGGGCAGAGTAGGACTGCCCCACACGTTTCCGGGGCTGTACATCTTTACAGAAGGAGACTGTTACTTCTTTCTCACCCGGAGCTGCTAGTGGGTCTCAGTAGCTGAGCATTTTTGCCATTGTGCCACTATATCTTCAAAATGTCATAAAAGTAAAAGGCTGGTCAAAACACCAAAGCCTTATTTTGCAACTTGAAGGTAAAGAATCCCAAGCAAATTAAAATGGATAAGCAATCTAGAAATAATTACATAAAAGTTAAAATTTCTACCTGGAATTTGGTACATTTCAAAATCTATTTTTCTGTTTCAAACTGCCAATTTAATCCAGTAGCAAAAAGTCGTGTTAATTTTGAAAGTACTCAGGTTGACAGATGATAAAAGTTTGCTTTATGTAAGGTCTTGTTGTTTTCTTAACTGTTCTAGTCACCAAAACATGAAGCCTGAATTACCTTTAGTTTTTTTTAAAAATCATTTTATTGGGGGTTTGTACAACTCTTACCACAATCCATACATACATCCATTGTGTCAAGCACATTTGTACATTTATTGCCATCATCATTCTCAAAACATTTGCTTTCTACTTAAGCCCTTGGTATCAGCTCATTTTTCTCCTTCCTCCGCCACCCTCCCTCCCTTGCAAACCCTTGATAATTTATAAATTATTATTATCTTTTCATGTCTTATACTAACCAATATCTCCCTTCACCCATTTTTCTGTTGTCTGTCCCTCTGGAAGGGGTGATATGTAGATCACTGTGATCGGTTCCCCCTCTCTCCCACCTTTCCCTTACCCTCCTGGTATTGTTACTTTCATTATTAGTCCTGAGTGGTTTATCTGTTCTGGATTCCCTGTTTCTCCAGCTCTTATTTGTACCAGTGTACAATCTCTGGTCTAGCCAGATTTGTAAGGTACAATTGGGATCATGATAGTGCGGGGAAGCATTAAAGAACCAGAGGAAAGTTGTGTTTCATTGGTGCTATACCCCGCGACCCTTCTGTAAGGGGGTGTCCAGTTGCCCACAGATGGGCTTTGGGTCTCCACTCCGCACTCCCATTCATTCACAATGATATGATTTTTTTGTTCTTTGATGCCTGATCCCTGATCCCTGCGACACCTCATGATCACACAGGCTGGTGTGCTTCTTCCATGTGGGCTTTGTTGCTTCTGAGCTAGATGG